TTTATTGCGGTACGCGGGCCTCTCACTGTTGTGGCCTCTCCCGCTGCAGAGCACAGGCTCCGGACGCGCAGGCTCAGTGGCCATGGCTCACGGGCCCAGACGCTCCGCAGCATGCGGGACCTTCCCAGACCGGGGTACGAACCTGCGTCCCCTGCATCGGCAGGCGGACTCTCAACCACTGCGCCACCAGGGAAGCCCTCCAAATACTTTTGAACAGCATTGGTTGAACCTACAGATGCGGAACCCTTGGATCAGAAGGGCCAACTGTTAGGTTTCTCCATATAAAAACACTATAGGGCTTCCCTGGTGGCGCAGTGGTTAAGAATCCACCTGCCAATGCAGGGGACAGGGGTTTGAGCCCTGGTCCGGGAATATGCTACATGCCGCAGAGCAACTGACCCCGCCTGCCACAACTACTGAGCCTGCCCTCTAGAAATCACAAGCCACAACTACTGAGCCCACGTGCCACAACTGCTGAAGCCCGCGCGCCTAGAGCCCATGCTCTGCAACAAGAGAAGCCACAACAATGAGAAGCCCGTGCACCACAACGAAGAGTAGCCCCTGCGTGCCACAACTAGATGAAGCCCGCGCACAGCAACAAAGACCCAATACGGCCAAAAATAAAAACAAGTAAATAAATAAATTTATTTTAAAAAACTATAATTAATAAATATCTCATGAGGAAATACTTCGATTACATAAATGTTTCATACTTTTGCCCACTAATTTTTGCATCCATTGATGATTCTTTATTGTTCTTTAAACAAAACTTTAAACATTATACATGATATACTGCATACAAACTCCTTTCTATTGTACACACCAAAGGGTACTTTTCAGTGTAAAAGTAGAGTAAGTATTAAAAATCTGAAGGCAGAAGATTTTAAACACCAAGCAAGAGGTGCTAAGACTCAATTTGACTAGCAAAAGGGAATTAAGGAGGGGAACAACATGGCAAAGAGAGTGTTTTAGAAAGATCAATCTCCTGATAAATTATGGGATGGCATGGAGGAAAAAGAGATTTGAAGCAAGGAAACCATGCAAAAATTGAGTATCACTTGCTTAGGACCTGAAAGGGAAATAAGGATACAAATGAAAATATACAAATTAATATCCATTTATGAAAGTAAAAATACTGTTCTATAAAAGTTATGATTATCATTTCCCAGGTTTTCTTAAAGCTAGGAATATATGTCATTTGCATCATTCCAAATTTAATAAAAATCCATTTTCAAGCTTTCAGATTAAGCCTATAAAGCTTACTATCTGTGGTAAAAATTTTCAATAAATGGAATACTAGTTCATTAATAATAAAATACCCAAAGATGTCTGTTAAAAACCTTTAACAAGGCAAAACTATTTCAAGGATTGTCACCAAATCAGAAGCTTTCCTTTACAATGTTATTTGACACAGCACTCCCTCATCCCACCACCCACCCTATTTATTCTCTATCTTTTTACTGTGCCTTGTTTTTCTTTATAACATTTACCACCCTTTGCTACATTAAATATTTGTTTATTGTTCCGTCTCCTCCCGCCCCCACTTAATTGTATAGCACCTGAGAATAGGGATTTGTGTTTTGTTCAGTGTCTTATCTTCAATACCTAGAACAGTACCTAGCACATATTTTCACAGACCTAAAGTTTTGACATTTAGACTGCTGAAAATAATGCAGAAATTGAATAAGTGAAGTACTTCTAAAGGAGACTTTATTTTTATAAGTATACTTACCACAGACAACATACAATGTATAAGTAACTAACTACTTGTCCAAACTAAATGAAAGGCAGAAATAGCTACACTGTGTACAGATCACAATGGTGACAATTCCTGGTTTAAGTATGACTCCAAATCAGGAAAGTTACATATATTACAAGTTCTTACTCTTAGATAAGCCCTAGACATCATATTAAAGCAACACGTAGAATGCAGACTCCAATTACAGACAGACTTAAAGACATCCACAACGATAGACTTCCTAGGTATGTGTACATATGTATATATACAGATATGGTGTGTAGATATTTAAACTGTAAGATGAGAAAGCCACCCCCGCTCTATGGAATACCACATTGTCTCAAATTGCCATATTGTCTCAAAACTTACCCTCATGCAAAGAAAAACCTGAACTTTATTACCAAAAGGAAATTTACCTTAAAGTTAAATAAAGGCCTCAGTGAACTGACAACCTGTTGGGAAACAAACTATTTCCAAGAAGTTCTTATACTGGAAGATTCAACAGAACAAAATTTTAGACTTGATTTGGGCACCAATACACTATTCAAATAGATTGTTTTCTCCCTATGTATGTCACCCTCCTTCCTATCCCCAAATTCAAGTAGGATTTTTCCCTCAGATATTCCCTGCAAAGGAAAAGGATCACATCGAAGAACTGAGAGTCCATGAATGAGGCAATTTTTTGAAAAATAAAACACTCTATATAATCCTTTTATGGAATCTGAAGAGAAAAAAGGATCGGAAGATCAATAGAACTTCTTAAAAGGTAATTATGGACAGTAAGGAGCAGTACACCTGTATTCTGCTTTAAAGTTTCTGCTACAAGACGTGGATATAAAAACCATATATATAAATATAGTGCCTAAGCATCAGCAAGAGCAAAACAATAACAGAAAGCTCATCCATCCTCCATCTCAAGCCAAATCCCTAAATGAAATTAATTTCTCAAAATTTAATTATTTATATCAAAGACAATATCCATATTAAACAACTTGTTCACCAAGTTGTTATTCATCTTATTCATCATTTGAATACCGTATTTTTTAGCCCACAAGTTAACATCAACAAACTACTATTATTAGTTGCAGTAATCAGTTACGTTAAGAGTTTCTATACATCTAAATATATCGATTGATAATAATTTCATTAAGCTTTCAAATTAGCCCAAAATACATTTTCTACTGACCTCGCAAAAGGATATGTACGTACTAAATGAAGATTTAATCATCAACAAAATTAATCATTAAAACCAACCATTCAGGATGATCATATTAAGAATGATGTGACCTTTAGAAAACTCTAAAAATATAGCGATCTATATTTTTTATAGCTCATATGTTTAAAAGTACGTATTTCCAATACTAAATTTACTTAAAATTTAACAATACTAAATTAATAATACAAAGAAAAACAAGAACTTACTTGGCCATAAAACTATATCAGGAATTCGCTGAAACATTCCTTCCCTGAGCAAAAATATCTCATGAAGACAATGACCTATTTTGAGGTTTAAAAAAGAAAATGCAAAAACATCTTAAATTATAGGAAATTTACAAATTAAAAATAAATAGCACTTATATAAAGTTGCTTACCATGAGCTCTAAATACTCGATCATCTGCTTCTTGTGAATATGAAATATTAACTTCTTTAAGGTCATGAAGAAAATCTTCATTTACAATAGAAGGAGGTGTATCACTAGGATTTAAGGATGCCTAGAAAATAAAATTGGTTTTCTCTGACTTATTTTTAGAAAATAAAATTTGAATACCTATGTTACAGAGAGTGACTATAAAATGTAAATTTTTACATCCAAATTAGGACAGAAGCATAGGAAAATAACAAATAATACATATGGAAACCAACTCTGTGACAGTAACCAATTACAAATGCTCTGGTTAATCACATTCTGTAACATAACTTATAAAAGCCTATGTTTTCTCTTTTGCTTCTAGGGCCTACCTTTTCATTATTTCTAAAGATTACAATTAACGGGACTTCCCTGGCGGTCCAGTGGTTAAGAATCCCTGCTTCCACCGCAGGCGGCCAGGGTTCCATCCCTGGTCAGGGAACTAAGATCCCACATGCCGTGTGGCGTGGTCAAAAAATAAATAAATAAAATAAAATAAAAATAAAGATTACAATTAAGAACAAGGAAGATAGCAAAGTCTCAAATCTTCGATTTTAGACTAGGGACACTGGGGGAAAGATAGTTAACTTTTGCATTAACTACATTTTCACCTGTAGATAAAATTTATCATTTCCTTTTATTATTTTTAAATGATCAGCAAAAAGCCTCCCAATAAGTAATAAACCCATTTTTACAGGACTGCTTTAAAACTCACAACATAATCATAAACTTGATACTTAATTTCAACTAATAGGTAACTTGAAAAGTAAATCTTCAACTTGAAAGCTATGTGACATTGGGCAAGTCACCCAAGTTCTGCAAGCCTTGCCTTCTTCATGTGTTAAATGAGATTATCGCCATCATACAGATACCATCATACAGATTACTATTTTGTCAAGTTATTGAAAACTGAAAGGGCTCAAAACAGAAAAAAGAAGTGCATGTAAAACTGGTGAAATTTCTGAATATGGTATATAGATTGCATCAGTGTCAAAAAAGTAATCACAAATAGTCAAAAAAGGAAATAGAAGAGATCTTTAAAGAAAAGTTAAAAGAATTTGGTTTGAGAGGGATAGAAATTAGCTGTTTAGCCTAATTTAATACTAGAATAAAATGTAACTGTGGATTTATAAATAAACCAAACAAGCACTCACTGAATACCTACAGTCTTTAATAATATGTTGGATATAGTGGATAATATAGTGTAAGCCATAGTCCCTGCACTTATGCAAGTTATACTCAGTTAGAAGGACGCAGAATACCATGCCATAGCGAATAATACTAATAAATAATAAAGATTATATAAAGAAATGTTAACTATTTCATTAGTTTAATACGTATATAGTCTAAAGGATTCTAACCACCCCTGTCAGAAAAGTGATACCACATGAGCAAACTAAAATTCTCTATCACTCATATCTTAATCAAACTTTTACTTCATTTTTTTCAATCTTCAAATATTCTAAATGTTTTGTTAGTAAATGTAACATTATATTTTTATTTTAAATTATTCTATATTAATTGTAGATTACTGTCAGTTCATTACAAAACCTAAAAATAACAGCAACTTATATTTTTGTAACAAAGTTCCCTCACAGAATTCATTCATTTGAACTTCACTACTACTTGTGACACACAGGACAGACAGTTACAACTCTGAGGTTCAGAGAGGATTACAGATTTGCCAGATAAATCTCAGATAAATGCTGAGATTAGGCTCTATATCTGTGATGCTAAAAAAAATTTTTTTTTTAAAATCACCCCTAGAAAGCCTAACAAGGCTAATATGACTAGTAAACTTCTTAACAAAAAAAATAACAAATATATTAAATAACTATAACAAATTACTAAGATAAGTCTAATTAATTCGGGATTAAACACACACACACTCAGTTAAGAATATTATTAATCATTCTTATTTGCTTACTTTAGAGGTAGTTTTATGCTCCAGACTTACTCCAAGGGTATTTTGGATCCACTCTTTAAAAGTTGGCAAAACCATGCCACTAAGAGGGTACCTAAGGTACAAAGAATGTAAAACGTTAGAGTAAAGTATCTTCATTTAAGTTCAAATCTTAGATTCTATTTCTAGTAATGGTCAAGTTGTTCCTATCGAACCAACCCTCCCACATATAATGATAAGCTCTGGACAAAAACAAAACAAACAAAACCCAACTATTTGAGGGCAGTATAGATAGCCCCAAACCAGGCAAAAATAGGTGGTAAGTGAGTAAGAAGAAAACAGCCCTATATGAGTTTCCAGTTTTGTTTTATTTTTTAAACAGGCTTTAGCCTGAGGGAAAGCCCCAGCCAGTACCACAAAAAGAAAGAAGAATGCAGAAAACCTAACAGTCTTCCTGGCTGAAAGAAAAAGAGGACAGTGTTCACAGTGAACACAGCATCTGGGAAGAGTACAGAAAAATCACACAAATTCAGGAGGCAGTCAGAGGGACCTATGTATAAACTCTGTCCAAATGTCTGGCTGATCTTGAATTACACATGTATGGAGCAGACACACTAAACAGCCCAGCTAAGCTTAAAAGAACAGAACAGATAATTCAGCTGCTCACCACCAAGAAGGAAACTTGAGATGAGTCAAGTTAATTGCTTGGTTTAAAAAAAAAAAAAAGCCTCTTCAGAAGAATGTAACAGAATCCAGAGTTTCTACAACATATCATTAACAATGTCCAAGATACATTTCAAAATTACCAGACATAAACAAACAAGAAAGTGTGATCCATAATCAAGAGAAAAGGCAATTAATAAGAACCCCAAGATGGGGCTTCCCTGGTGGCGCAGTGGCTGAGAGTCCGCCTGCTGATGTAGGGGACATGGGTTTGTGCCCCAGTCCGGGAGGATCCCACATACCGCGGAGCGGCTGGGCCCGTGAGCCATGGCCGCTGAGCCTGCACGTCTGGAGGCTGTGCTCCGCAACGGGAGACGCCACAACAGTGAGAGGCCCACGTACCGCAAAAAATAAATAAATAAATAAGGTTAAATAAGTAATAAATAAGTCTGTGCTCTTAAATACTATATGATGCTGCCTCTAGTCTGATTCTTTCCTTACCATCAATCCAAGTGAGATCATTATTCTAAAATTCTTTATTAATGAATATTTATAAAATCACAGTAGCTATATTCGGTAATTTTCTTCACTATGATGTTCTTGCAACTTCTCTACTTCCCTCTCCCTGCCATGATGACAGAACAGCCAAATAAAACTATACTATATTATGGCTGCTTTATCTTTGTTTAATTTTATAAATATTTTATTTACAAAACATTGAAGTATAACATGCATACAAAAAGTAAGTGTATAGCTGAATGAATTTTTACAAAGTAAACCTCCCATGTAATCAGCATGCAGATCCAGAAATAGAACATTACCAGAACCCCAGAAATATCCCCCTTCTTGCTCCTTTCCAGGCATTATCACCTTTCCCCACACCAAAGGAACAACTATCTTGCTAACTTTATATAAATGAAATCATATAAAATGTACTTTTTGTGTCTGCTTTCTTTTGTTCAATATTATATTTGTGAGAGTCATCTATGTTTGTGTACGTAGTTGCAGTTCATTCATTTCCATGGCTTAATTCCGCTGTGTGAGTATAGCATAATTACTTTATCCATTGTATTGGTGGCAGAAAATAGAGTTGTTTACAGTTTTTGGTATGTGCAGGGACGTTCTTGAACTTGTTTTCTGAAGATCACATATCACATGTTTCAGATAGCTATATAACTAGGGTGGAAATCCTAGGCCACAGTCTATGCATATGTTTAGCTTTAGGAGGTGCTGGCAGATAGCTTTCCAAGATGTTAACAGCCAGCAATGTATAAAGAATTCTACTTATTCCACATCCTCTCCACACCTGGTATTGTAGTTATTTTCATTATGAGACATTCTATTGGTAATCTCTTGACAATATTAATTTGAATTTCACTGATTACTCAAGAAACTGAACTTCTATTCATATACCTATTGTCCATTTAGATATCCTGTTTTCAATGCCAGTTCATCTTTTACTCATTTATTATTATGTTTTTATTGATGTATAAGAATTCTCTATATATTCTGAAATCAAGGATGTATGTATTAAATATTTTCTCTCACTCTGTGATTTGTCTTTTCACTCTCTTAAAGGAGTCTTTTTTTTTTTTTTTTTTTTTTTTTTTTGCGGGGGCCTCTCCCTGTTTTGGCCTCTCCCGTTGTGGAGCACAGGCTCCAGACGCGCAGGCTCAGCGGCCATGGCTCACGGGCCCAGCCGCTCCGCGGCATGTGGGATCTTCCTGGACCAGGGCACGAACCCGCATCCCCTGCATCGGCAGGCTGACTCTCAACCACTGCACCACCAGGGAAGCCCTTAAAGGAGCCTTTTGATGAAAAGAAGTTCTATATTTTAATGCTGTCTGATTCACTTTTTCCTTATACTAATGCTTTTAGTTCTCTGCTTTTTGCCTACCTCAAATTCAGAAAGACATTCTGTATATTCTTCTAGCAATTTTATAGTTTTAGCTTATGTATTTAGGTCTATAACCTATCTGGAATCGATCTCTGTATTTGGTATGAAGTAAGGTCAGAAGTAATTTTTTTCCAAGATGGCCATTTAAGTCCTCAAAGCTATTTTTATTTTTGTGTTTAATGGAGAAAAGTGTGTGTTTAAATGAAGAAAAGAAGAGATACTCTAGTAGTCACTATCTATTCCAGATCAAAGAACAATTAAACCAATACCAAAAACAAACCAGAATAGACTATATATTGGTCTTAACATCTATGTTGTACAAGTTATTTAAAATGTTCAAGGGACTTCCCTGGCGGCGCAGTGGTTAAGAATCTGCCTGCCAATTCAGGGGACACAGGTTCAAACCCTGGTGCGGGAAGATCCCACATGCTGTGGAGCAACTAAGCTTGTGCGCCACAACTATTGAGCCTGTGCTCTGGAGCCCGTGAGCCACAACTACTGAGCCCACGTGCCACAGGTACTGAAGCCTGCGCACCTAGAGCCCGTGCTCCGCAACGAGAAGCCACCTCAATGAGAAGCCCACGCACCTCAACAAAGAGTAGCCCCCACTCGCCACAACTACAGAAAGCCCATGAACAGTAACAAAGACCCAACACAGCCAAAATAAAATAAAATGTTCAAAGTGTAATACTTTTGCTCAAGATTATTTCCCACTCATTTCATCAGAGCTTAAATAACTGCAAAAGCTTTTAGCAACTAGCCTCAGAAGTTTACTTTGACTTCACAAAGATAGCCAAAGCGGCGGCGGGGGCGGGGAATCAGTGTGTAATATATAAATTCTGTACTGAAATTAAATATATTTTTATAATACAGAATTCAATATTAAAGGAGCCAGTGGTGTGCCCTATCCAAAGGAATTTTTAATTGGAAGTGACAAAAAGCACTCATTTTGTCATGTAATTTTAACAGTTACACGGCATTGGCTGAAAGGACGTCACCTCTTATGATGACTTCATATTATGTAACAAAAATACCATCTAAAATTCTCAAATAAATCTTTACATAAAGGTTAGCAAAATAAAAATAATAGTGGAATGAAAAAAATAAGTATGTTTTATTCAACGAGTTCCTCTTTTTTATATTAAAAAATCACAAGTGCTAACATTCAAACTGAAATGGAATATTTAAAGTATTATATAATAATACCTTTTTCATAAATTTAAAGAAATTGGAATGAAAGAAAGTATAAGACTCACAGCTAAAACAACTTAAGACATTCAGCATATAAAATTTTCTTCATCTTACCTGACAGTAAAAGTATAAATTCTGGGAAATTGGTTATAACACATATGCTACTATGTGTTATAATGTCCTACAAAAAGGCCAATTTGGAAATATTAGGTTTTAATCCTGGGCCCTTATATTTTAACCATACAATTACTTTGGGTCTCTGTAATATACAGGAGACTCTTAATATTCACAGAAGGATAATATTCGGACCTTTGTGAATCCCTTAATTCACAAGTAACATTACCCATAAAATAAAAAGGTAACCCCCCTTCAAGACACTTGAACCAAGAGATACAAGGTTGGTATTACTGTCATGTGCAAAAAAACTACATTCTACCATTAAGATAACCAGAATATACTTCTACATCTGAATGCACAATATTTCAGACTCTGAAGAAATATCTTATTTGGCAGAACCTCGGATTTAAGACTTTGCTCCATTATCTATAATTCCCGCATAAAATTTAACACAGTTCAAAAAGAGTTCCATGTAAGAATGAAAGCTTTTCAATTGTACTTTTTCTTGCACCTAATGCCCTGGGATTTGAAAAACAGTAAAAGAAGCTTGACTTAATCATCATAAAGCCTAGCATACTGCCAAGGGCCCCCAAAATCTCATAAAATATCATGAGGTAAAGGAGAAAACTCTGAAATCAAAAAAGTAAATGAATGGAAAAGAAACATAAGAAAAGTTAAAGGAATTGGAGGTATTTAACATAAGAAACAGCTTTGGAATGACTTGATTCTTACAGCAAAAAAATTTGGATTTACATCCAGAACTATAAATAAGCATTTATTTAACACTCATAAGACTGTACTAAGCATTGCAGGACACACAGAATTGGTATTACAATATGACTCCTGGTCTTAAGAAACTTACAACCTCGTTTAGTCAAAGCTACAAAGACATTTAATTTGTATGGTGAACATATGGGCAGGAAACATGCAACTTCTACCAGAAAGCCAAATGCCCATACGAACTGTTGAAACAGGGTGACCACTGAATAGATCTTTACCACAACTGAAGACTGGTTTGAGAACTTTAAGAAATGGTTTTTGTTATAAAATATAAGGTGAGGTCAATTTACCACCTTTCCTTAAGATCAAAGTAGACTATATTGTAGAAGATACAGAACCAGAGCAAACTTTCAAAACCCATGAAATCACTGTATAATGGAAAGAAAACTCTGTGGACATAAATACCCAAGAAGCAAGTGCACATCAGGATTTAAGGTGACTATAGACAAGGTGACTCTCACTCTGGGGCAGTGCACAGAGGCAGCAAAATATTAGTAGACACAACCATCTATTCTCAGTGAGTTCCACAATTGCTAACCAATTTAATAGCTTTTTATAGGAGGTAAAACTTTAAAAATTATGCCATTGAAAATACGAAGTACAACAAACCCAAAGAAATTCTCTCTACCTAATCATTAACTTGTGCCTTGAAAGCACCAACTAATGTATAACGCTTTTAAAGTCAAAGAATAATGACACTTTTCAAAATTTTTAATTTATAGAAATCTATATAGCATTAGCTCTGAAGTACTGCCTTCTGCTGCTTAAACCTAGGAGGACTCAATTCATCTATATATAGGAGGAATAAGAATCGCAAGATTATAAACCTAGGGATTTATAAACTGACAAATTACAAGTTTGTTCAGAAAACAGACTGTGCTCAGGGAAAAACTTACGATTTTTCCCTGACATCTGTAATAGCTTATAATTGCTTCTAATTTAATGGTTGGGTTTGAAATGCCAAAGTTACCCTCCCCAAAATATATACAGACAACCAACCACATTTGCTCATAAAATTTTTCTACCTTTTCAATGTTCTGTGGATCAAAAATAGGGGAACCCCCCATAAATTTTCACTGAGAGTCACTCTTAGTTTCTGGCACCTAAGGATTTCCCTTTCTTTCTTTCCAGCTCTGTTATTATTTCTTTCTTGTAGTATTTTATCCATGTTTTCTACCTGGTTATAGAGGGCAAAGGGTCTATATTTGTTCAGTCCACTACAATGCTGGAATAGAAAGTCTTTACAAAGAATTTCAAAAACTGGCCTTAAAATCTAATATTATTTAATACAACATGGTGAATTCATATTGTTTTCTTGTACTCATCCTTTCTAGTCACAAATTCCATTTTCTCTTTTAGGAATATCACAACCGTATTCTTACGCTTCTGCCCTTCACGTTCCTCTGGAGCAATAGGAACTTTTGTCATAGGTTAACTTTTTACAATATGACTAACTCTACTGTACCGGTGTATAGAGTGTAGAAGGCTCCTGTAAAGTGCTTCCAGAGACTGGAAAGAGAATAAAATCAATACAGTGGATGAGTATGGTACCTCATTAGCACAGTATAATAGAACGAGCACAAAAATGAAGCTTAAAACACTTGTTTTTTAATCACAATTTCCCACTGCGCAGCTGACCTCAAGTAAGCTATTTAACCTCTCTCATCCTCAATCTCCTGATTATTTCTAAGAACATATCACTACCCACTTAGGGTTATTTTAAGATAACTCAGTAGGAGCTCAATAAGTAATAGCTATTATTATCTTAAATAATATTTCTAAATGTTTTCTGATAAAAAAAATCAGAGAAATCTACTAATTCAATCATTAGCCCTAGGAAACTAGACTAGATATAGAGAAAGCTATGATCCAATTCAATCCAGTTGATTATCCTGTCTGTGGCAAGATAATGGTGCTTCTGGAAGCACCAAAATGAGAAGTGAATATTATTTAGTTATTTGGTTTCAGTTATTAAATGGTTTATGTATAACATATTTAATCCTAGAACATTTAAATTCCATTTCTGTGTTTGCAGAATTACCCTCTGGATAATGGATAATTCAGTAGGAAGCAAAGGTTACCCTTGCAGGCTCTGCCAGTCAGACATACCCTTGTTCTCTTCCCCTCTCCCCCACTGGACTTGGACTCAGCAGTCAACAGTGCAAAGAAATGAGGCCTTTAAGAAATCCATTCTGGTTGTAGGGGCAGCAGCAGTAATCTTCCAAAGTCTAAAGTCAATGGAAAAATTCTCGAATTCTACTACAACCTGGATAAAAATCTCTCTCAAGACCACTGAATTCACTTTGCTCTGAATTTATGCTCTCCAAACAATATATAAATTACAAATTTTGTTTTCTACATATCTTAATATCAGGAAGGGCATTAACAACTGTTCTACATCCTGAAAAAGAAATAATCTAATTATAAGTGAACACACTGGGGTTCTAATTTTCTTTTAGTATCTTATGAGTGTCACACATGTATCAGCCACTTACAATCTGATCCTCTCTGGGAAAACTGGCAAGCCAAGTGCCAGAACACCCAAAATAAGAGCCAGATTCTAAACCCATGGGTATAAGGGTTCATACACTAAGGTATAAATAATTGTGACACTTCCTATGACTAATCATTCACTTCACACACATACACTGCTAACATAAACCAATCCATAGCCTACAGTACCCTACAGAAGACAGTAGGTATCTTATGCTTTCAATGGCACAGTGCACAAGTGCCTATTTGCCCCCTCACATAAAACAAAGATGCTATAACTTCAAGGTCCAGAGAGAGAGAAAGAGAGAAATGAAGACAGTATCTAAGAAGAGAGAAAGTTGGTTTTCTAAGTTCAAAAGATTCACTTTTTCCCCCCTGAAGATTCTGTAAAGCCAATCTCTACATGACAAGTTTCTACTGTATTAGACATTATTCTATTTAAAACATAAAACACTCAATGTTTAGAACACTGGTAAATTTAATTTTAACTAGAAATTCCTTCTACCTGAATTACACAATTTCTCAACTAAGCCTCCACCAACATGCTGTCCAGTCACACTAAAGAATGGGAATGAGAATGCAGATAATTATTTTTCCTATTAAAAAGCAAATGTAGGGCTTCCCTGGTGGCGCAGTGGTTGAGAGTCCGCCTGCCGATGCAGGGAACGCGGGTTCGTGCCCCGGTCCGGGAGGATCCCACATGCCGCGGAGCGGCTGGGCCCGTTAACCATGGCCGCTGAGGCTGCGTGTCCAGAGCCTGTGCTCCGCAGCGGGAGAGGCCACAGCACTGAGAGGCCCGCATACCGCAAAAAAAAAAAAAAAAAGCAAATGTAAATTGTACACCTTCACACCTTCATTAAAATTAGTTACTAATTACCATTCCTGAGGTTTTTTTTCAGGTACGAAGTACGTTTAAGTTAAAAACAAAAATGGAATGGTTATGTTGTAAAGAAAAAGAACTTCTCCAAAGAAAACTTTTCTTGCTGATATTTCAGTATACTGATATACCATATACTTGTTTTAAAAACAAGTATATTAATGCCCAATAGATATGAAGTCAAAGTGAAATACTGGAACAGATTCATGATATACCTAATCCAATTTTTTACCTAGTCTCAATTTTTAATTTATTTTTAGAGCCACATTTAAAAATTTTGTATTTGTACTCACTGTCCTTCCAAGTTATATCAAAATTCAATAGACAAACCCAAAACACCAGCTTCAGCAGGGTCAGTGTTACTTAAAATCAATTAAGAACTCATTTTACAATTCTGTCTACATCTGGAACAGCAACAATACAAATATTCTTTAGAATTCATATCAACATTATTACCAAAAATATTTCAGAATGTGAAAGTTACCACACAAATGATCTCTCTTCATCACTTCTTCTCTAATATACCTCTCTTCATCACTTCTTCTCTAATATACCTCTCTTCATCACTTCTTCTCTAATATACCTCAGAAAACTAATTTTTAAAATACTATTTATATTCACAAGGACCTTCCATAATGTTCACCTTCCATAATAACCCAACCAAAATTATATTTCCAGTCTTAAACAAAGAGTTACTTTGAATAAGCCAATGTCATGTGGATTAGATGGTGGGTAACTGCAAACCTTTTTGGATCCTATTCAAACTACCTACAGAATGATATTATTTAGACAGAGAAATGTGAATGTGAATAATCAGATATAAAATTTCTGTTATTTGGGGGAGTATGATAATAGTATTATATGATTGATTATATTAGGTCCTTATTTTTTTAAGGGATACATATATAAATATTTAGAAGTGACATGACAATGTCAGAATTTGATACATAACAGAAAAAGAAAAGCAATTATGGCAAAATGTTAATAACTTTTAAATCAAGGGGGGAGTCATTCTATTATTCTATTTTTTTATGTATGTCTATTATTTAACATTACATTTGTTATTTATGTTTAAAATTTTTCAGAGAAAGAGAAATAAAAGGAATAAAACAAAGAAAAAACCAGTTACCTTTTCCCAGTCAACTCAACTTGTCCTTTCTTATTGAAGAAGAACCTGGAATCATTATATCCCCATCCATTCCATTTCATAACTTCTTGCCTAATAAGCAGAAAAATACACATAAATGAGATCTATACTAAACATCTCAAAACTGAACACTGCATCATTGACTATTAACTTTCACAATCATTTAACAGAAGACCTTATTCCACTAATATTATGTTGCTTTAAATAAAATGAATATATATTAAAATGTCTATACATTAATATTTCTAAATATAGAATCACTCTGATGAGCAGCACCTGCTTCACAAAGGGCTACAACCACTAAATTTAACACATTCAAAGGAAAAAGGAGGAAGAAGGAGGAAAATATTCTTAGAGTATAAATATGCTTCATTTTGCATGTTATTGAGTTTATATTATATGACAGCCTAAAATATTTTGCAACTAAAATAAAATTCACTTAACAGGAAACAAGTTTTTTCATATATTAGAAAAATCGCAATTATTAATCTTCCACTAGAATGAAAAAGACCAATTTACAAAGTAGGTTCACTAGCATTGACACTACCAGTAGCAGGCACTTTCAATAAAGTAGATTAAAAATCTGAACACTGGGTTTACAAACATTCTAAATCCTTTAACTTCCATGTAAATGCCAACAACTACCTTGATCTACATATTAACATTAACATAACAGTTAATGACCATACCAGTTTTCAATGTTCCAAAACAATGTTATCTTTAATTTCCAAAATGCCAGTATTTCACAGTTTTAAAAATTGTTTTCATCAAAATCAATCACTCACTCATTCAATTTTACACATTACAAAAGAATTAGATTGGTTTGGACCCATGCAGAACACAATAAGCAACCACACCGAACTACTGTGTCAGCATTTAATACATATTTTAGCATGATGCCCTAGTATACCTGGGCCACTGAAATAAACTGATGGTGAATCTTCTTACTGCAAATTCAATGACTGTAGTTTATGATGAAAATACTTGAAAATACATCATAAAAAAGAACTCTGTAACTATGTGTGGTGATGAATGTTAACTAGACTTATTATGGTGAAAAATTCACAATACACACAAATATCGAATCACTAAGCTGTACACCTAAAACTAGTATAATGTTACACATCAATTTTACCTCAATTTTTTAACGAAATTTCAAAATAAACAAAGATATACTATTAAAAAGTGTTCCAGGGATTCCCTGGTGGCAGAGTGGTTAAAAATCCGCCTGCCAGGGCTTCCCTGGTAGCGCAGCAGTTGAGAGTCCGCCTGCTGATGCAGGGGAACGGGTTCGTGCCGGGTCCGGGAAGATCCCACATGCCGTAGAGCAGCTAGGCCCGTAACCCATGGCCGCTGAGCCTGCGTGTCCAGAGCCTGTGCTCCGCAGCGGGAGAGGCCACAACAGTGAGAGGCCCGCGTACCGCAAAAAAAAAAAAAAAAAAAAATCTGCCTGCCAATGCAGAGGACACGGGTTGGAGTCCTGGTCTGGGAAGATCCCACATGCCACGGAGCAACTAAGTCCGTGCGCCAAAACTACTGAACCTGTGCTCTAGAGCCTGTGAGCCACAACTACTGAGCCCACGTGCCACAACTAGTGAAGCCCACATGCCTAGAGCCAGAGCTCGGCAACAAGAGAAGCCACCACAGTGAGAAGCCCACGCACCGCAATGAAGAGTAGCCCCTGCTCACCTCAACCAGAGAAAGCCCATGTGCAGCAACGAAGACCCAACACAGCCAGAGAAACAACTGAATAAATAAAAAATAAAAAAATAAAAAGTGTTCTAATTCTCCATAATTCTCAAGGAAGAAAATGACTACTGACAAGCAAGCAAATTTTTTATTACAACCATAAATCTTCCATTTCAAGGGCTTTTCAAACAAGTAGAACACTAACACAATACAAATGAACCAAATACAGTCATTAATTATGTAATGAAATACCCATCAATACATAAAATTAAAAAGAAACTAGGAATGCTCTCTTTAAAATTAGTTTGCTAACAGTAAAAACTATATTTCCTATACAAAAACATACTGTTCAAATACATCTTGATTGATCGATCGATCTATCTATCTATTTATTTATTTATTGCCGCATTGGGTCTTTGTTGCTGCGTGCAGGCTTTCTCTAGTTGTGGTGAGCGGGGGCTACTCTTCGTTGCGGTGCACGGGCTTCTCATTGCGGTGGCTTCTCTTGTTGTGCAGCACGGGCTCTAGGGCGTGCAGGCTTCAGTACTTGTGACGCACGGGGTGAGTAGTTGTGGCACACGGGCTTAGTTGCTCTGCCGCATGTAGGATCTTCCCCGACCAGGGATTGAACTCGTATCCCCTGCATTGGCAGGCAGATTCTTAAAAACTGAGCCACCAGGAAGGCCTCAAAAACATCTTAAAGAGTAACAAATCCAGAGATTAGATTTGTAGATGAGCTTGCTATAAACTATCAGTCAATATTTTCTTCTTATTTCACAATTCTACCTCACTGTAGAGGGAGGTTTTGAAAGACAGCTTTTGGAAAAAATCTCTACAGAAAAATCTCATGACTAATGACATGACACTAATCCACTTGTTTTATTTTTTTTTCACATGTTCATTGCAGTATAATTGAATTACAATGCTGTGTTACTTGCTGCTGTATAACTAAGTGAATCAGCTATATGTATACATATATCCCCATATCTCCTCCCTCTTGTGTCTCTGTACTCCCTACTCCCTATTCCACCCCTTTAGCTGGACACAAAGCACCGAGCTGATCTCCCTTTGCTATGCGGCTGCTTCCCACTAGCTACCTATTTTACATTTGGTAGTGTATATATGTCAATGCTACTCTCTCACTTCTTCCCAGCTAACCCTTCCCTCTCCCCGTGTCCTCAAGTCCATTCTCTATGTCTGTGTCTTTAATCCTGTCCTGCCCCTAGGTTCATTAGAACCTTTTTTTTTTTTTAGATTCCATATACATGTGTTAGCAAAAGGGAAGGTTTTCTCTTTCTCACTTACTTCACTCAGTATGACAGACTCTAGGTCCATCCACCTCACTACAAATAACTCAATTTCGTTTCTTTTTATGGTTGAGTAATACTCCATTGTATATATGTGCCACATCTTCTTTATCCATTCATCTGTAGATGGAAACTTAGGTTGCATCCATGTCCTGGCTATTGTAAATGGAGCTGCAGTGAACATTGTGGTACATGACTCTTTGAATTATGGTTTTCTCAAGGTATATGCCCAGTAATGGGATTGCTGGGTCATATGGTAGTTCTATTTTTAGTTTTTTAAGGAACCTCCATACAGCTCTCCATAGTGGTTGTATCAATTTACATTCCCATCAACAGTGCAACAGGGTTCCCTTTTCTCAACACCCTCTCCAACATTCACTGTTTGTAGATTTTTTGATGATGGCCATTCTGACTGATGTGAGGTGATACATTATTGTACTTTTGATTTGCATTTCTCTAATGCTTAGTGATGTTGAGCATCCTTTCATGTGTTTGTTGGCAATCTGTATTATCTTCTTTGGAAAAATGTCTATTTAGGTCTTCTGCCCATTTTTGGATTGGGTTGTTTGTTCTATTGATATTGAGCTGCATGAGCTGCTTGTATATTTTGGAGATTAATCCTTTGTCAGTTGCTTCATTTGCAAATATTTTCTCCCATTCTGAGGGTTTTCTTTTCGTCTTGTTTATGGTTTCCTTTGCTGTGCAAAAGTTTTTAAGCTTCATTAAGTCCCATTTGTTTATTTTTGTTTTTATTTCCATTTCTCTAGGAGGTGGGTCAAAAAGGATCTTGCTGTGATTTACATCATAGAGTGTTCTGCCTATGTTTTCCTCTAAGACTTTTATAGTCTCTGGCCTTACATTTAGGTCTTTAATCCATTTTGAGTTTATTTTTGTGTATGGTGTTAGGCAGTGTTCTAACTTCATTCTTTTACATGCAGCTGTCCAGTTTCCCCAGCACCACTTATTGAAGAGGCTGTCTTTTCTCCATTGTATACTGGAGACACAGTGGTTAAGAATCCGCCTGCCAATGCAGGGGATACGGGTTTGGTCCCTAGTCCAGGAAGATCCCGCATGCCACGGAGCAACTAAGCTCTACACCACAACTACTGACCCCGCGCTCTAGAGCCTGCAAGCCACAATTACTGAGCCCGCACATCTCGAGCCCGTGCTCCACAACAAAGAGAAGCCACCACAATGAGAAGCCTGTGCACCACAACAAAGAGTAGCCCCCACTCGCCACAACTAGAAAAAGCCCACGCACAGCAACAAAGACCCAACACAGCCATAAATAAATCAATTAAAAAAGCAAAAAAAAGTATACACTGTGCCCATTGTATACTCTTGCCTCCTTTATCAAAGATAAGGTGACCATATGTGCGTGGGTTTATCTCTGGGCTTTCTCTCCTGTTCCATTGATCTATATTTCTGTATTTGTGGCAGTACCATACTGTCTTGATTACTGTAGCTTTGTAGTATAGTCTGAAGTCAGGGAGCCTGATTCCTCCAGCTCTGTGTTTCTTTCTTGGGGTCTTTTGTGTTTACATACAAACTGTGGAAGATTTTGTTCTAGTTCTGTGAAAAATGCCACTGGTAGTTTGATAGGGATTGCACTGAATCTGTAGATTGCTTTGGGTAGTACAGTCATTTTCACAATGTTGATTCTTCCAATACAAGAACATGGTATATCTCTCCATCTGTTGGTATCGTCATTAATTTCTTTCATCTGTGTCTTATAGTTTTCTGCATACAGGTCTTT